CACCTGCAGGCGTCTGGTGCAGCCCCTCCACAGTCCTCCCGCTCTCGCAGCTGACCCCTATTGCTGCAGTTCAATTTCTTGAGCTTCCTTCCTCCTTTGTTCTTCCTGCTTCATTGCTGTAGGTTTTCATTTTCCTGCCCCTGCACCTTGGCTAGGCCACAGGTGTGGAAAAGCTTGTTGGGGACTTACATGGAGATGGTCTCTTCCTGTCTGAGAGAAGAAAAGGAGATTTTGCAGTAGCCCAGCATGACGTTCACCCGCCCTTTTCCCAGCACTGCAGCATGAACAGAACTGCAGAGGCAGGGAGGGAGTCATCTGTGCCATGTGTTAGTTGTTAATTTTAGCTTTACCGTAACTCTTGACGACAGGGCTTGGTTGTTTCCTACTGTAGGCAGCATGTAGCAGTTATCCTGGAGATACGGTGTGGCTGTAAGACAGTAAAGCTGCAGCTCATCCCTGAGCTGTGGCACGCTGTCAAGGAGTGCGATAGCCAGATTCCCCCTCTGACTCACACAGCAGCTGCGTACTGAAGTTGAGAGGCCATATGGTACCATTTTTCTTGCATTTGTGCTAAACCCTTGACTTAGGTTAAGTGAGGGTGGCATTAGGCACAGGCTGAGTTCCACACGTGTCTGAGGACAAAGTCTGGCCAAAAGGTGGTTATATATCTGCCATTATACGTACTCCATTTAACCTTTGCCTGCTGCCTTTTTCCCAATTCTGGGTACCTGGTAAAGTTTGTATGAAGTACCAGCCTGTAGTGGCACAGTCAAAAGAGCATCCAAGGATTTGATCTACAGGTCCCAAACTGAACTTCTCCTAATGTGTAGGAGAACTCTTGCAAGTACGTTATAGCAGGCTGAACAAAAATCGTCTCTAGGTTGTTGCTGATAACCTTTGCTTGTTATAATGCATTGCTTTTGGTCTCTGGAGCAAAACAATTGACTACATCAGAAAATACCTGTCTTACTTTCTCCTGGTGCTGATACTAGTGTTTTGCTAATGCATGAGTTACTCAGAGAGCATCATGGGTAGCTGCAGCTGCGTTGCTGTACAGTGCTGGAGGCTTGCCTGGTTGCATCCAGAGATGTTGTTCTGACTGACACTGTCCAGCCCAGTGAAGTGGACTAGTTAAAGGTGTGGGAGCACTGGCAATGTGCTATAGCTAACTCCAGCAGGGAGCCTCTGAGAGCTTCTTGTCTTTCTAGTGTCATTTTTGTTGGTGGTCTTTTGCCATGGTCCACAGAGCGTGTTTGTTCAGTCTCTACTCTCATGTTTGGTTAAACACTATGTGAGGATGCAAACATCTTTCCACCGCAGCGAAGGAACGCTGTGATGCTGTGCTCCCGCTCAGCCAACCTTTATGCTACCTTTCGGTATATGCAATATCTTATAAGATCTTTTTCTAGCTAAAGAGAGACACCGGATCTGTAGGAGAGCTGATGACCTGGGTGGAAATGCAACAGTTGAGGTGTTAAAGATCTGGAGGCACAGTCGGCTGCTTAGAGTAGAGGTGTCGGGAGGGGCAAGGAATCGTATAAAGGCTGAAGCAGTTGATCTGAAGTCATGTCAAGTGAAGTGTCAGAAATGAGACATGCTTGCTCTGTAACAGAACATTCTTCACAGGCATTTTAACAAGCTTTAGAATTAAATTTGGGGGGGAAAAAAAGTGATGTAGCTGTTATGTGAAGGCTTTCACAAGCTTGCAGTGTGCAGTCTGGGCTGTGACTGGTGGAAAACCAGACCTGAACAGCCGTGTAATCAGTGCTTTTCCTAGGCAGTTACGAGCTCACGCTATATTCACACCACAGCTGCATATATATTTTCCAAAATACACTTCTGGAATTATACATGCGCTTTTTTAGTATGCTAATCATCGCTGTGGTCATTCATTCCTGGAGTTAATGACTAGTCTCTTAGAGAAAACGAGCTAACAAACTGACAGTCGCTCATAGCGAATCGGTTGCTGGAGAGGCCAATGTAAGTTTAACATCCACAATAAATCCTTCTTTTGCTTCTGATGGTTCAGTGGAGCAATGGTAAAGGAATGAGGCAATAACTTCATTTATCAAAGCAGTTCATGGCTGTAGTAGGTTTGTGCATGACAGCTCATAGACAGAAATGCCAGAGAATTACAGGCTGTGGATTTCTGCTCCTCTTTGACTAATATTAAGTGTAAATGGGAAGAGGTAGATCTCTTGGTGTAATCTCAGTCAGACAGACTATCGATAGCTGCCAGTCCCGGGTACATGGTTGGCATGAAAAGATGGGCAAGAAGGGTGCAGATAGCTGGGGGGCTGTGAAAGGGCTTTCTTCTGGCTCCACTGCCAAGAGTGAACCGAAACATCATACCAAGACAGATTGCTCATTTCTGGTGTGAGCCCCATGTTCTCTGCTGCGTGTGCAACCCCTCCTGCCCCAGGGCCAGGAGGGACCAGCGTTATTGCAGAGCTCGTGGTATGTGATGAGACAGAGAGCAGGTTTGTGGATACTGTGCTGCTGCTGGGAGCAATTCCTGCAGCTGCTGGCTGCTGGGATGCCTTTTCTGATCACGGTGTCCACAGTAATCAATAACCATCTTTCATCAGCAGTTAACCATTAACTCATGGCAAATAGCAGACCTTTTTCATAACCTTTGGTTACAAATAAATAAATAGACATAACAGCTTTGGATAAAGCAGCAAATACTCTGAAATTCCCATTTCGTATCCCAGAGCTGAGCTAGCTGAAGGACCAGCATTTTCTTAATACTTTGTTTGCAATGAACTGATGGACCTAGCTGGCAGCTAGTTTGTGTCACAGGTTTAGCTTGGGACATTGGTATCTGATAATATTAAAGTTATAGTTTTTCCTTCACTGGAACACTGAAATCATGTTTAGGATTTTTTAAAAAAAAAAAAAAAATCTATTATTAATAGATTTGTTGTTTTTTGAAATTACTGTTTCATTTGGCAAATGTCCAAAATGGCAACATTGTGCCAGGATGTTGAGCTAGTTGAATGAAAGGCTAATCTCTCTTCATGATTTGAAATGAGGGAGTTAAAGGTGTAAGCACCAAGAAACCCATGATTTATGAAAGATCTTTGCATTTCAGTATTTGAATATTAGTAGCATAGGAAGATTTTTTTTTTCTTCAGATACAATTTTTTTTTTTTTTAACTTGACAGAATCCCATTTAAACCAATCACACTACATAGACCATACAGGTGGCTGTGTTAATGCTGCGCTGAACTGAAACAGTTTGGTTTCAGAAATGGGGTTTAAAATGTGTCTTGAGTAGCTTGGGGCGGGCAGAGATACTCATGGGCATCGTGTTGTCTACAACTGTTTCCTCGTTGAGAGCCCAGGTGAAGTCTCAGCTGTATTACTGGGTACTGCTCTCCTGCCAGGTTTACTCATCTCTGTACAGCTACCTGCCAGGGACGGACGGCATTTCTGTCTCTGTGGCGTGGCAGCTTAGGCCAATTCATATGCTGCGAGTGAATAAAAGCAAAACCCATGGAAACTGAACTGAGACACCAAGAGCTTTGTTAGCTTAACTTTGTTCTTTCTGCTATTAAAGTTTCTACCAGTTCATAATATGCTAATTTCCCCCCCGAGCAGCTTGCATTTGTATTTTCTGTGTGTTTGTGTGTATAAAATGTTCACAGCACAGCAGGGGAGAATTCTGGATGATTAAAGCCCGATTCTGTAGTTCTTGAGTTCCTAGACTCTTAAGTATATTAGCAGTTTTGTTGATGCTAATGATTAATGCTAAGCTCGCACGTGCATTTGTAGAAATAGGGCCTCAAACAACACATGGAGCACAACAGCTTCATTATAGAGTTGTATGAGGCAAAAATCTCAATTTTTATTTTCTACTGTAGTGTTTTAAAAATCACAGCCTTGTCTTGAGATGTACTGTCCTGCTACAACCAAATAGAGACCAAGGAACATCTCAAAAACTTAAAATCAATGGTCCTGAGTGTGTGACAGAAGGACATGGATTCTCCAGCATTTCATTTCTTCTTCATGGGGATACAGAAACAAAGTGATTCTTGAATTATCTCCCTGCCCTGGTTTGAATATAGAGGGGTTATGCATAGATAGAAATAAATACACAGGCAAAAGACTCTTAAAGCTTTCTGAAAACAAACAAACAAAAAACCACTCCAAAAAACCCTCTTTGTAGAGCTTATTGAAATCATGACCTTTCCTGTGAGTCTGCTGTGTGTGGAGCTAACCGCTGACTTTGCCAGTGCTACGTTGACTCTTTGTACTTTGGTCTCGTGTGGACTTCGTGGGGTCATCCCCGGCATCACCAAGAGCAGGCTTGGGCAGCGAAGGAGAATTTCTGACCCCACTGAAGCAAAACTGCCAGCCAGAATTTTTGCCCTTAGACCATAAGGAAGGTAGAGGCCTTGCTCTTCTGTTTTGTAAGGTGCCAGGTTATGTTTATGAGGTTACATACTACTACTCATGGAAAGTTAAACAATTATTAAATGTGACTGGCAGACTCATTTTCCCGGTACGGCGTGGCTTCCACCATGGACCAACGCTGTTGATGTTGCATTGCTGGATAGGGGCAAAGAGAATTCTCTTGGTTTTGGACTGAATTGTTGTTTTATTAGTTATTATTGAATGTAATGTGTGGAGCACCTAGTTGTGAAGGTCTTACTAAATTATTTCATCGGCAAACGGAGTTATTTCCAGGGAGTGCAGGTTTTCTGTCCTCTCGTTGCACGTGCCTCCTTTGGATTTCTGTCTTTAGCCAGCCTTGATCTCCATGTATTGAAACATGGGGAGGCTTCCCCCCTCTTTTATTTTGGGTTAGTTTGCATGCATTTGTTTCACTCAAGCTGCCTGCTGCTGCTTGAGTACTTGAATCTACGCAGCGTGAGGAGCTCATTGATTTAGGGCCTGATGGGAGTATCGTGAGTGTTCTGAATCAATGGCCCGGAGCTGGTTTTAGGAGCCGCGGAGGATTCTAACTTTCGTTCTCTTTCTGCTTTGTAGGTATTTGTATAAAATGTGGAAAAGGTGTGTATGGAGCGAGCCAGGCTTGCCAAGCGATGGGTAACCTCTATCATACCAACTGCTTCACGTGCTGCTCTTGTGGTAAGTCAGTTCTACCATAGCCTTATTAAGTGGCTTCCTTTTGTAATACATACTCCTGTAGCAACCAGTGTACAAAGTGAGACCTCACCTTACCTGCTTCCTGAGGCAAAATTCCCATGCAAGACTCCAGCTTCAAAAGTTGTTTTTTATTTGCCATCTATAAGTGTTCAATGGTGTTTTCTTAAGCAACAGCCCAGAAAAGTAGTATTTGGTTGTTTTAGGGGCTGCATTTACAAAATGGCTTCAACCTAGCCGTTATAAGCACTACATACTTTAAATCACTTGTGTTTATGGAACTGTAATGTGCATTTATCATTTTTACAGAAAAACGATAAAATTTGAGCAGCCAAAACTGTATTTTCCCTTCACTTTCTATTTGCAAATGCAACTCTAATCAAGCATGTATATTTGTCATTTCTATATATACATAATGCTCAAAAATTGTTCTCTTATGTTTGAATGTGATAAGAACAAATAGAAACTGCATGTTGAAACACTTTAAGCTATTACAATATTTTATTTTTGTAGAGGAAAACTTGCAGGTAAATCACTGTTCCTCCTTGCCGTTCTCAGGAGCTTTTTAGGCTTCTCTTTTAATCTGGACGCAACTGAAAGTGGTGCATTCTGTATGTGATTTGGGGAAGTCATGGCTTTGCCAGGGGAAACAGGACTTGGAAAATTCAGGGCAGCACTTTCAGAAGTGTTTGCCTTAAGGCAAGCATTGTGAACTTAAGTTGGAAGCTTCCTCAGTGTCTTATCTGTAACTGCTGAGAGCTCACAAATTCCCACCGAGTTCAAGGGAAGTATGAGAGCTCAATTTTCAGGAGTCAGATAGTTTTTCTTGATATACCCACACAGCTATTTAGCTTCCTAATATATGAAAATATTTGCCTGGATGTTGAAGATCTTGTTGCGATACATATACACAGCAAAAGATTTACTCTAAGCAGAATATGCCGAGTGTAAATTGTTTATAAAAAGGACTAATTGAGGCTTAGAAAAAGAGTAAAAGATTATTGGCATAGAACCAAATAAGTTGATAATGAAAAGACCATTGTAAAGTTCACTTGTGAAAGGAGAAGTGTTGTCTTTTCTCCTGAGATTTGTACAGATAAATATTGGTTTAAAGAAACCTACAACCTGAATGTAGAATTTAGTGACCTTTATAAATGACTCTGGACCATTACCAAGTTCTAGAATAAACTCATCTCAAACCTTCAGGGATCACTCTCGACTTTTCTCAAGTCTGACAGTGAATGAGTAGCTATTTTGTTGGCTCCCAAAGTGAACAGCATCCTGCTTAGCAGAGGATTACAAAATATGATATCGGATAATATCTATCCACTCATTGCCAACATTAACCTAACCTAATTGCATGGGTGAATTCCAGCTTCCTCTCTGGGGCAGGCGTGGTGTTTTTTAAGTAGTCAGGATGTGTGTTTGCTACCACAGGGGTCTGTACACAGGTCACTTTGTTCCTCATAAGAATATATAAGGGCTGAGGAATGTATTTTAACAGCAAAATACAAACCCAACTTAATTATTCAAAAGCACAACAAGCTTTTCTGACTGTCCTGGTGAGGTGTGTGTGGCCAGTGTACATCTACCATAGGGCAACTTGAGACATGTCCATTCAGAGCGTAGTTTTGCCCCACCCCACAGTGCCGGTGGAATTTCATGATTCACACAGCTTTCCGTGAGTCACGCACACGCACGAGGAAACGGTGCTCCAGGTCATCTTCTGAGCTTCTCACTGTACTGCTCATGGGCTGGAGGGCTCAGCTATCATCCACCGGGATGTTTCGCAAGCAAGAAGGGCTTGGATTTCCTTCTGTCTGCAACCTCTGATACAATCCCATCAAAAGGGGAGTGCGTGGGGACTGACTTTTTTATGTTAAGCACTGAAAAGGTGGATGTGCTGCTGATGTGGTAGTAGTGCCTGAGTGCAGGTAAAAAAACTTGATCAAAGCTTAGGTTCAGCTACATGCAACTGTGAGTCAAAAGCAGAGCTTTTCCTCTCAACTGAGCTCCAAAATAGTATCAAAATGAGCATAGCTGGAAGAGGGGTGTTGCATTAACTCTTTGGTTTCCCACTTTATTTGGGGCTGTGCAGTCCTTGGGAAACCAGAGTGATTCAGGACAGTGCCAGTAGATCCAGACCTTGGGAATGAGGCGTGCAGGTCCCATCTATGGGAATTGCATCCTGGAGTGTGCTGCTGAAAAGGCTTTACAGGACCTCATGTACAAGCAACCAAACACAAACTTTTCACACTACTGCAGTTTATGAACAGGGAGTTCATTTTACCTTCAATGTGACATTGGTGGGACCCAGGTGAGAATTCTGTGCTCTAGTTTTGCTGCCCACCTTTAAAGAGATGAGGAAAAACTGGAGAGGGTCCAAAAGGAGTTACATAGATGATTAAAGGCTGGAGGAAAGCTAATCGTGAGAGCCCAGTGTATTTTGGGCATTAGAAATGATGGGAGGGACATGTGGCTGGAGCTCGTAAATACTTTTACCAGAAGACAGCATTAGAAAGTGGTCTTATACATACTAGAGACAAACACAAGAGACATCTTTTCTGGAGGCTGAAATTACACAATTCAAATAGGAAATCAAAGACAGTTTTTATACAATGAGGAGGATTAACTGCTGGAACAAAATAGCAAGAGAAGTGGTAGATTCTCTATTCTTCTTTGTTTTCAAATTAAGACCAAATGTCCCTTTGGAAAGTGTTTTAAGTTGAGCCAAGCTTTTAGATTCAGTACATAGGTAACTGGGTGATCATTAATGACCTTTGTTAGGCAAGAGGTCACAGCACATGGACTACTGCTCCTTCTGAGCCTTTGACAGGAGCGTGGAGAAGTATGGTAGTACTCTCTGCCTAAAACAGTTCCTATGCACTAGTTCCTGTGTATACTTAGAAATCTGAGATATAGAGTAAGAGCTCAAGCTTGCCTTTCTTTTTTTCCTCTTTTTTTCCCCCAAATAACAAGAATGATCCAAACTCTCCTCCAGCAGTTATCAGTCTTACTTTCAATATAATGTATCTAGAAATAGAAGGCAGTAACCGAAGAAGAAAAATTCTGTAGCTGAAGACATCCGATTTAGATAAGGGCCCAATATTTAACCAGCTACAATTAAAAAATTTAAAAAAAAAAAAAAAAATTTCAAACCCTTGGGATAAGTTGTAGTTTGGAGACCACTCAGGCTGAAATGTGATAATGAGTGATGGAGCCTCCAAGGGCCTTGTTTCAGCACTTGGCAGTGAGCATTTTCAGCTCAGCAAAGACGAGTGCAGTTATGCAAAGAAGTGGGAAGAGACCCTCAGTAGGAAATTCTGCCTGAGTCAGAGTCCTTTCTTAGGCACTTCTTTGCGTTTAACTTTGGTTTCAGTGCCAAGTGCCGTCTGTCAGGGTGCCCTGGTTGAAAAGAGCAGCACGTGGCAGAATGGGCCATCTTGCACCTTCCACGGAGCATACAGCGCTTGCCCCAGTGCTGTCCTTTTCGACTCACATCATCATATATCACACCATTGCTGGAGGGTTTGTGTTGTTTGTATTTAAGAGGAAAACCTGAAATATGCTCACAGATGCAGGCACCTCTGTGAGGACTCCAGCCTTGCTAGTGTAGAAGTGTGAGGATGCAAGGTTGGATTCTCAGGGCTCTTCTGCAGTGACGGTGGTTAGCTCTTGAGAACATGAACGCAGAAAGATGAGGAAACATTTTAGAGATACAGTAAATAAACAGGAGACTTCTGTTCCCTTTAGACATTTTGGTAAAATGCTCAGATGGTAAATCTCTTCATTGTCTTCCTAGGTTCTGGCAACTTAGGGATAAAACTCAGTAATATATTGATTCAGAGTTGTACAGGATCTTCTCAAAAAAAGAAAATCTTGCCAGTGAGCTGAGGTCAGAAGAAGAATGGAAAGGAAAAGTAAATGACCTACCTAGCAGGCACATTTTATGTTTTAAAATAAAATGCTGCATTTCTGCCTCTTTAATGTGTTCAGTGGGCTTTGGATAGTTGAGCCTTGCTCCCATAACTGGGCAAGTTCAGCATCTCAGAACTTTGCTCTGTCAGTTAAGTTTTGTTATGTCTCTGTGTAAACCCCTATTGCCTTCTGCAAAAAGCCATGCTTTTCAGATAGCTTTTTTCAGAGGTCAGGTAATTCTCTTCAGGTAATGTAAAAGCCAAAGCGATCTGGTTTCCTTGGGATCAAATAGTTCAATGTAGATCTTTATCCACAATCTCTTAGAGAAAACAACTGAAGCTTGTTAGGATAGTTTTTAAATGTAGGTTCAAATCCTCTCTCAGCCCTAACACCAGTGGAACCTCTTCTAGGCCTTCATTCAGCAAAACAGGTAGACATGTGCTTAAATATGTTATATTACTCATATGTAAGCATGCTTTGCTGAATCTTAAATAGCAGAGATGAATTCAGGCAACAACATAACACTGTCCCTTCTGTTAAGTGTAAAATTTCAGTTTTGGCAGGAGTTCAGTTGCGGATTTTGCTTACGGAAGACAAGAGCTGAAAAACGTCTGCTGAAAAGCTCATCGTCTAATTCCTTTTGGTAGTATTTCAGAGCACGACAGGATTTCTTGAAGAATAATTGTAATAATGCCAGATAGCTTGTGTGCTCTTAAGTGCAGGTGATCAGTTGCAGGAATTAATGGGCTCTGTTTGATACTCATTACAGAAGATAACTTATCAGGTGCCTCCACTTTGCAGATCATAATGCCATCCACAGCATCATTTCAGGCTGAAAATTTTAATCCAGTGGCAATGATTGTAGAAACTGCAGTAAGATAAATCTTTACAGTGAGGAATATTGGTTTGATATTTGTTACTCTGAGGGTGCAGGCGGTGGGCAGGGAATCAGCTTTGCAGAGCTAGGGGTTTGAAGTCTCTGTACTCTCAAAGCTGAAATGTATTTCACCATAAAAACCAGAGACACGTTCTGCTCTCTCACATGAAGGCAAATGTTTGAGCATGCC